TTCATACATTTCAGGCTGAACATCTTTTCCATGAATATTGCCTTTTTGTAAATCCAACACATTAGAGGCTTATTGAAAAAACGAACAAGATACTATTACAGTGTGATATTAAAGAAACAAGATCAAAGAAGAAAGATCCAGAGAATGAACATTCTATACTTTAATAGGTTAGCAAAGGAAAATGGAATCTTTATATTTAGCACAGTTTTTATGTATATTTAGTTATATATTAATTTATATATTCATTTGTTTTTCCGCAATTGTTATTGGTGTGGTTTCTGTACATGTCAGTCATGTGAGTCACTGTATATCCTGGCAATGACACACAATTCGCAAGAGGAGAAGTCTTCAAGTGGTATGTCGATTGATTTGGAAAATACATTTGCCCCTCTTATTGTATGTATTCATGTCACATAACTGCTGTAACTGTAAATGAACACAAGGAACAAAGATACTTTTTTTTTAAAGTACAACGAACATTGCAAAGGTACATTTTCTCTATGTACTATTCTGTTTCAAGGAATTATATATTTTAAGAATATTATCGGCACAGTTTACAGCCCTGAGAGAGGCAGACACATTTACTGGTGCGCAGACATGTAAACAGTTTTCATATACTGTGTATAAACTGCATAAATCCACCTAAACTTGCTGTGACATGTAGGTGTGTGTGCGCATGTCTACACATTTTGTTACCTCACTCTACTTGTTTCTGTTCTGTTCTCTTGCCTTAGTCACTCGTAACAGGGAGGGGCTCACAAACACACACAGAGCTCGAAGGAGAATTCCTGTTGATGATTGTGACATACTTGTTGTGTTTTTCCCATTAGTGACTATGTGATTTTTTGTGAATGTCTTTGTTTTACATGGCAGTGTATTTGTAGCCAAACAGACATGTTTGGACACGTAAAATATTCAATATTTAGCTGTACTTTTGTTTTCTTTAAATTAAACGTCAAATACTGAAAGAAGAGAAGGTCACACAGAACACGTCCAACACTGGGAGTGGGCTGTCACAGTATCACAAACTGTGATCGTAATGCATCAGGGCCATATAGATGGTTCATTAACTAAAAATAGGACTTAGTTCACTCGTATTGCAAGGAAAAGCTGTAGGTAAAATGAGCTGTGTTTGAAAACATAGAAATGTAACTCTCGGATTGCATATATATATACATACATATATATACATATATATACGTATATATGTATATATATGTATATATAGCTACATTCAAGGCTTTTTTGGCAAAAAGGGTCAACATTAGTTCGTGAAGCACTTTAAAGATAGTTTAAAAAGAACTTGCTGAGTCATATATAAAAAGACCAACATCAGCTTAAGCTTGACGGCATGGACATACAGTACTATTTTCAAACACATTTCCCATACATACATAACAGTTGTGGGGGAACATTTATTTTGGCAGATATTTTTACCTCTTGCTTTCATTCTGAAGACAAGGAGGGAAACTCAGGGGATTTTCTCTGACTCATACTTAGTGGCTGTTAACTGCCAAGTCATGGTCGTATGGCTCATGATGACAACCAGGTGAGGTCAAGATAGACCAGAGACGCCCAGAGGGGGCTGAGGTTTTCGAGACCGACACAAACTGATGAAGGGCAATGAGTGGTGCGTCGAAGATTTGTCACATATTTCAGTGAATTGCATTATCATTCCACGCTCCTTAACATTTCGTTTCTATTGCCATAAATATATATATATATTTTTAATTTCCTTCTCCACACTCACCTGAACAGGACGTCTACTCCAGCCTCTGCAGTTTGTCCAGTCTGTGCTTCTAAAAGCACATACTCTGCAAATATTTAACCTTGCCCTCAATAACATTGCTATGGTGACGTGCCAAACATTGCACACATGAGAAGGCTCAGGTGCAGCAGTTACTTAGCAGCGGGCGTGGAGCCGATTTCCCGAGCTAACAAGACAACCGCAAAAAATGTGATGAGCTCAGGTGCGCCTCTGAATTTATTTATCATGTGATTCATTAGGAGAAGATGGGAAATGACAGGAGGGACGGTTGCTAAGGAGCAGTAGTCTATGCTTGTGAGGAGATTATGATTGGGGAAAGTACCTCGCTCAGAAGATGGCCAAGGCAGGTAGAGCACAGCTCCATCTTTATCGCATGTATGTCACCGATAAGGATAAGGGTGATTCTCACGACATCATTTGTAGATGTGGATTTGTGTAATTGGTGTATTAACAGGACTGCACATACTGTGAAGATGTAGACAATAAACCACTGAAGGGCTGCATCTGTGCACCATGAAAGGAAATTGAGCCTGGTGTTTGTATTGCATAAATCATCAGGTAGTTTTGACTTTGAACAGACAAAAACATGACTGTTATTCATTAAAGGGTTTTTAATTTTTTTTTTTTTTAAATACACCAAACTATTGTTGTGTGTCTTCACACAGACAACATAAACACTGCGCACATGTTATTAAAAAAAACAAAACAATTTAAATTACACAGTATCTAATGACTCTTTTGTATGCTGTAGAAATGTCATGAAATCCCCATATGTTGTAACATCTGTTGCGGTGTTTACATCAGTAATGTACCGGGTATATACGTGATACCATTACCAGAATTCTGATAAGACAAAGTGCAATAGAAGATGACTGTTTTTCTTGAGGTGTCAGTTTTGAAGAAACTAAAGTACCTGACACCCCACTGAGACGTCAAAGTACTAGACTAATCCAGTCATAAATAACCCTGTACGTTTCACATGTGTACATTCACATCACGACTTCCTCATAATCCCCCTTTATTCTATATAATTTGTCGTAGGTGGTAGTACACAGTAGAACATATTTGGTTTCCACCCGTACGTATAGAAAAAAAAAAAGAAAAAAAAGAAAATCTTTGGTTTCCACCTGTACGTATAGAAAAAAAAAGAAAAAAAAAGAAAAA